TACCTTTGAACTGGAATCTTACCGCCTTTGCCATTATAACATCTTTGTGGCGGACTTTTCCTCTAGAATGTGACCCCTATTTCAGATGAGAGCTGAGGGTCAACGACTGAACATCATTGTCGTTGCTGAAGGAGCGATTGATCGCGATGGTACTCCAATACCGGCTGACCTCGTTAAAGACGTCATCTCTAAGACACTCAAATACGACACAAGGGTAAGTTGCTTATGGTGTGAAAGAGCTAGTCCATTGAGGGGGCTTTCTGGCATTTCCCGGGTTGTAGAGGATTTCTGTGGTATCCAGTGTACGTTCCATATACCGAAGATGGGTAGGGCGTGACTGCATGCTCCACTCGAACATGGCGTAAAATGCATTTTTCGTGGAATATTTTTATTTGGTAGAACTGCCATCTAGTTTTTCTGGACGGAGAATCACCACCTCCAAATGAAATACGCAGCTACGCCATACCTATCAAGGAAATCTGGAGGATGATTTTAACGCACTGGCGTCCACGAGCGTATGGGTGGGGGTCTTCTTGACGCAATACTCCTTTATTATCGGGAACGTTTTTCAGGTGACCGTGCTCGGACATGTCCAGCGTGGTGGCGCTCCTTCTGCCTTTGATCGCCTGCTCGGTTGCAGAATGGGTGCAGAGGCAGTGTTGGCCCTTATGGAGATGACTGAGGTACTTTAAGTGAAACAGGTTTTATATTTTCTTGTTGTATCGCCTTGATATACTGTACAAGTTAGGAGTCTGAACCTTGTGTGATTTCCATCGATGGTAACCAGATGGTACGAGTGCCTTTGATGCAATGTGTGGAACGAACTAAAGCGGTCAGTTTATGAGACAGTGCTTAGTTTTATATTGGTTGCTTCGATCGATATTTCTGCCTAACAATTCCCACATATTTTGCGAGAAAATGCGTAATTCTAAGTGAGGAATGTTCATACGCGTTAATTTTTATGCTGGATGATGCACGCGCATTTGTTTCACCCGTTCGGAAAAGTTCGCTAATTGTTGTCGCCCAGCAATATTCTTCTAGCGCGTTCTCAGCGCTGAAAAATCTGCTAAGAGCCTTCTTCGGTTTTATCGGCTTTACTATGAGGGTTTTGTGGGGTTCAGCTTATCAAAGGGCAAATCCTTTTTTCCAGGATTGGGTCTTATCTGCTTCACTTTACAGGTACAAAAAGCGATGAACGAGAAAGATTGGGATCTTGCAGTGAAATTGCGTGGACGAAGCTTCCAACGCAATCTTGAAACCTACAAATTACTAACAAAACTGCGTACAGTGGAAAAAGACAATCTTTCCGGTGGTCAGAATTTCAACGTTGCAGTGATGAACGTCGGTGCTCCTGCTGGAGGTATGTCTCTGGGGTTTGAGTTCGAAGAGGGCAAGGCTTCCACCTTTGTTCGCTATTCAGACATCATTGAAATATTTCACTTCGTAATGTAGCAGTAGTCTCGAATAAAGCCTCATTTATGGGGAATTACTAGATAAAGCTGCACAGGTACAGTTTCAGCTCCACATGAAGTTTTTCAGGCTTTGATAACTACCTTAGAATCTCACAA